CTACTACTACTACTACTACTAGTATGGCTGCTACTACTACTACTGCTGCTGCTGCTGCTACTACTACTACTACTACGACGACTACGACTACTACTGAAGAGCAATACCTTGACCGCATCGCGGTCAATCAAAGCCTCCGCCATACTCGTCCCGAGCCCTTAGGCACTTTAACCCCGAACCCGCAAGTGTTGAAGCTGCAGCCGAGCTTGAGGCCCAATTTCAATTTTCCCGAACACCTAGAAGCGAGTGCTGCCACTGGCCCGAACAGCCGAAATCTGCAAATGATGTTCAGCCCCCAAAACCGTAGTGCTTTCCGTTTTCAGGTGAGGACATGCACTACGCTGAACTTAGAAGAAGGCGCTGTGACAGGTACTATGACCCTGTATCACACTCGTCATTCAATAGGTCCAGTCATAACAACCTGCAGTTTCGGTACACTTCTTTAGTTGAGGAGGTATTGGGCTTTCTAGGTACTAACCCTAAACCCTAAACCCCCAAACCCTAATATGATCCTTCACAGCTCCTTCAAACGTCCCGGCGATTTAAAGTTCGGCGGCGAACTTGCGTGCCGAGCTACCGGGGCCATGGTGGTAGTTCGCTAACTTGGGATCCCATTTAGGGTCGTTCTTATAAGGGTGCCGTACGATGTTGGGGACCTTAAAAAGGGACCCTAAGTTAGAAAACTACCCATGTATTCTAGGGTCCTGATTTCAAAAAAAACGTGGGCGTGCGCTTTCATAGGCTGAAGGGGTTCTTCTTGCTGAACCCCCCCTCGTCGGAACTGCATGTTGATAGTAATGAATATTTTGAGGTGACAATAATAAGCATAAGGCTTTTCATCATAGCCTATGATGACAATGAGAACTGCAAAGAAGACCCAGGAGTTCCAGGTCCCCACCGTTTGTTCAAAAAGCTCTCCGCCAGAGGCGCAGCACTCCCCAAGAAGGCGCGCAACTCACACTGCGGGAGACCAGGATTCGTCAGAGGATCCCCATAGTGACTGGGGAGTCTCCCCTTACCCGGAGACTTCAAAACCCTTTAATTTAATTAAGGAATATACCTGAAAATATAGTAGGAACCCTAATATGATTTAAGCTATATTCCTTAATTTAAAGGGGCTTTGAGGTCCCCTTAAACGAAAACCCGAAGGGTTTAGGGTTTTGTGTTTAGAGTTTAGGCCCTATATATGCATCAGGACTACCATAAGCCCAGGTTGCATGTCACCAACAGGCTTTGGGCATTTCAACTGCAAATCCGAAACCATAAGCTGGGCTTAAGGTTTAGGGGTAGCCCGAAATGCTGGATCCTAGGTCCTAGATTGAATTCTACCCTCTTCTTTACAGTCCCTTTGCTTCCTATCGCGCGCTGGGCTTCGGCGTTGCGGGCGCCCAGAAAACCCAACACTTGATGAAGAGCGCCCGCGCTCGGTGCAGAGCTAGACTCTCGAAAGCTCTAGAGAACGAATGTTTGAGTGAGACAGAACCCCCTAAACCCTAAATCCTAAACCCCCAAACTCAGTGTCTGAACTGGGGCTATGTTGCTTCACTCTCGAGGTGCCTAGCGGCCTAGCAGGCTTGAATCGGATTCGCATCAACCCAATATCGATCGTCCGTGTGCTGGAGCCATGGCCCGCTGAGACCCCAAGTTTGCGGTTTAGTTTAGGCTTTTGGGTTTAGGGCTTAGGTCCTATAGAGCTGCTCTGCCAGTAGCTGAGATTTCAACTTTTCCAAATCATACGGCCTATGAGTGGCTCAGGCGTCTGCCTGCATGCCTAAGGTCCTCTGGTACGTGCAAGTGAAACACTCACGGTGTCGCACCGGTGAGTGTGCGGGAGTTCCTCCATACACCCCTGGCCCAAAACCGATCCACAGACCCCAAAGCTGGAACTTCAGGAACTGTGATGCCCATGAGGGATTGGAGCCACCTTCCACGTGCACTCGGAGCCAAAAAGAACTTAGTCTACGACCCTTCCCTGAAGAGTATCGATCTCTGGCGCCGATCACAACCCAGATCCCCAAACCCCGAAAGCCCTAAACCCCCAGATCAGGGACAGGGCCAAGACCCTGGAGTCTGTGGAGACCTGGCTGCTGGCGATGCCCACTTCTTGTAGAGCAAAACGCAACGGGGGATCCAACCTTTGGAGCAAATATTAGGATACCTATTATGCGGAGCCTCCAGAACAAACCCTGTAGCACTCCGAAAGTAGGGAACTTGTTACTCTGAGAGCCTACTCATGCAAAAAGCAGGAGGAGTGTCGCGGAGCTGCACCGGAGAACCAGACCAGGACCGCTAAACGCACAACCCTGGAGTCATGAAATGAATGATCGCAATCTTGAATCTTAGGGGCCGAGTACCTTAGCCCTAAAACAAGTTAACCTTTTGAAATATCATAGGTTTATATAGGCGCCGAAAGGTTAAAGGTTACCTACTCAGCCCCTAAGGAATTGGTTACAATCATCGTTGCTACTTCTGCTACTGCTGCCACCACCACCACGACGACTACTACTCTACCACTACAACTACGGCTACGACTACGACGACAACGACTACTCGACTGCCACGACTACTACGACCACAACTATGTCGAAGACCACGACAACTACGACCACGACCACCGCTGCCGTCACGGCTACAAGTACCACAAGAACGGGGTTTACACCCTGAACCCTAAACCCTAAGGGAACCTACAAACTCTCAGAGGGGAATTGTTGGAGGAATTCCACGGTCTGAGAACTCCGGCTGGCAGCCTCTAGCAGATATCGCTTGATCGAGCTTGCCAAGCTTCAGAATAAGTTCTGGAATAATCTTGTGGATGGATTCAGTGGTGTAGGATTTGTAAACTCGAAGGACATGCGATTGGGGCTGAGAGCGGCGAGAGGACGACGGCTTCACCGATCCTTCAGGAACAAGCTGTGCCGGGTTCGTCTCGGTCTGACAGATCGCAGCTGTCAAGTGCATCGAAGCACCGGTGAAACGATAACTGCCACGTGAGCCCTGTTAAGTAGGTCATTCTACAAGTTGGGTCGTGCTTTGACCGTGGTGTCATCGAAAGGCACGTCGGAATCGCGAAGCAAAGGGATTTTTCCGTTGCTTGCTGGCACCTTTCCCTACGATGTATCCGACTGCGGTTCTGCGCATGTCTTTACTCCATCCGCTTGCCTCGATGTACATGGGGCTCACGCAGCTAGCAACCCACGATGTCGCATCTGCAGGTTTGATGAGGCGTTTACTTCAAGCTCCGCAGCTGCCAGCTCGCGACCATGTTCTGGTGACCATGTTGTCACGTTTCTGCTTACCCAGCAGAAACCTGGGCACTACATCTGCTCAGGTATCCCCAGTACAGCCCCACGGGGGCGCGTCGAGGAACAAGCAAGCTCGGCAGGCGAGAGCCAGGGTGAAGACGGAGCAACGGCACTTGGTCAAGCCAAGCAGCTTGACCTGTAAATACATCTGCGATAACATGCTCCCCAGAGAACCCAGTACCCCTTAATACAGGAATATACCTTTTAATTACAGAGGCCTTAATATTATGATTTAAGGTATATTCCTTAATTAAGGCGTCTTGGGTTCTCTGCGCCCGGGCCAGGAGCCGTCGAAAACCCTCCCTCTGCGCAGTTTTAGACTCTGCCAAGGACCCTGGCCCGGGGCTTCGAGGCAGTCGCAGCTAAGCTAGGAGAAAATGAAGGCAACCACAGCGAATGATTGCAGATCGGTGTCACAGAAGCCTGGAAACGTGAGCTGTTAGAAGCTCGCGCCCTCCTGACTCTGCTACAAAAGCCCTAAGCTCCAAATTCTGCAACGAGCTCTAAGAGTCTGTCTGCTCGAGATCCGAGATGTTTGAGTGTGACAACATCCTGCGTGTTGCGCAGGGCGTCTTGGTGCAGAGGTTCTTGGCCAGTACCGAAACATCAGCAGTGAGCTTAAGCGATTTGTAAAAGCGAGAAAGCTCGCCACGGCCTTCGAGATGTGCTAAACCTTAAAGCGTGCTCTCTTTTTTCTCTTTGAGACACAGGCTTTAGAATTTGCAAGTCGCATAAAGCCCTCCGTGTATGCCTCACAGAGCAGCACATGTAGGAGTTACAGAATCAGACGAATGGAATCCGATGCCGAACCTGTCTTTCTAAAACACGCCCAACTCATTCCGACAGCTCCTATGTTCGAAATACAAGAGCTCGCGTTGTGCACTGCGTCACATCAAGGAGCAGCCGCAGGCGGGTTGTGCCTTGAAGCAGTTCTTATTAGTAGTAATGATAGGAAAAGCGGTAGTTGAAACTATTACCGTGAAGAAAAGAATAAAGCCAGTAATGGGCAACAGTCATATCGACAGCAATGAGACGGACAATGCCAATGCAATAACAAAAAGAACACTAGTCATAGTAGTACCAACAGCAATCCTAATGCCTAGTAGTACTAGTACTAGTACAAAACTCAACAAGATATTGGTAGTAGCACCAGTAATGATAATAATGATCGTATCAGGAATAACAGCAGGTGGTGAGCATCGGGGTCGTCGGCTCCATAGGGTGGCTTAGAACGGTATGACAGGTGCTGTCAACCCCCCAAAAAGCCTTGACACAGGGCGCTTCAAAACAAATACCTTAAACCTTAAACCCTCACCTTTCCCCTAAACCCTAAACCCTAAACCCCGGTTCGAGGCTTATCGGAGTACTTGGGGCTCAATGGGCCTATGAGGCCTCAGTGTGCTCTTTCCTGGGTTTTTGGGGCTTGGTACGGGTCTGAGCTCCACGGTTTATAGTTGTTCATATGAGAGAGACTCCTTCTGGCGAAACCAGCATAATGTAGAGGCCTTAATTATCAGAATAGGGTTTTGGGCCCCTTTATAGTATAATTGTAATAAGGACTCCCCAAGATAATATAGGTAATTATTGAGGCCCCTAGATTACAACTCAGGGTCGCCTTCGCCTGGAGCCTTCAACTAAATGCTACAGCTCCAAGCATGACTCCAAAACCAAGCTCCGAGACATCTCATCATAAGCCCTTATAGAGATTCCGGCAGCCGTGCGGTAGCTCAGTGAAGGGATCCCAATGTTCCGACCAATCCCTATAAACCCTAAACGCCTAAAGCCTCCAAGCCGTAGCCAAAGCCCATCTCAGGTGGCAGGTCTGCGTCCACAAAAACCAGTGCTCCATCACTCGACCGATCTGTTGCTCTTTCTTGCATGGGGTTTAAAGTGGTTACTTTTGGATCTAGATCTCTTTTCATGATCATTAGAATCATGACAAACAGGGCCCTGAAGCTCTTTTCCCAGGTGCCTTTGCCTGAATGGAGACTCGCCGGGAGGATATGACAATAACTTTCTTTCACGATCTCAACGAGGACGGTACTGACGGGAGCAATCCGTGGGTCATCAAGGCAAACTAACGGAAATACAAACAAGCCAATCCCTTCGTCCCGGCCTCTTCTTCCAGGCTTTCCAGCGCCTGTGGCTTCGAGTTTCGAGGAGGTTTGGAGTTCCCCTGCCTTAAACAATCGGCTTCTCCTGCCACGGTGCTGCCTTGTTGTCATGAGGTATTGTGTGCAGCCTACAGGGCCCCTATAAGCTTTAGCTTCCATGCTTAGGGTTTAGGGATTTTGGGTTTAGGGTTTAAAGGTTTAGGGCTCCCGAAGCCATGTTGGACCCTTTCACGGCTTGAGGTTCTGGATTTCGGGCTTTGTGAACCCAACCACGAGCCTGGAAACAGTCATCAGAAACAGAAAGCCCCTTACAAACACGTCAAGAACCACCGCGAAATCTAGAACGCGGAAGCCCGAGCTGAAAACAAAAGATTAACCCAATCTATCGACCCCGCCACTGGCCGAAACCTTGATCATCGTACGAGCCGAGCATACTTCATGATCTCATAGCCCAGGAAGACTGCTTTAAGGCCTAAACCAGTGCCTAAACCCTTCGAGTCCACAGCAGGGTTGCCCCCTTCAGGTCCACAGCAGGCCCTCAACCCTACCCTAACCTACCAAAACCTACTTTTTTTGGCAGCGTCCCCTTGACTACGATGATCTGTATACGTTACTAAGGCTTGAAACAAGAGCCTACAAAACAGCAGGTTCTTGTAGTTCAAAGTAAACCCGAAACCCCAAACCCTAAACCCCTAAACCCTAAATCCCAAAACCCTAAGCCCCAACACCCTAAAACTCTAAACCCCTAAATCCCGAAAAAAAGCCCTAAACCCCCTAAAAACTTTTCTTGCCGAGGCTCCCCGAGGATCTGCCCCGCGTCCGGGCGCTTCTGGGCCTCCTCGGCCCAAGCCTGCGGGTTGCTGTGAGGCCCAAAGGGCGGTTTAGGGTTTAAGGGTTAAGGGTTTAGGGTTTTAGGGTTCAGAGTACCTAATTATATAGCAGAATGTAGGGTTGCTGTGAAGGAAAGTGCCCTTTTGTTTTAAGTTCCCATTCATGCGGTTGAGGGTTTCGGGTTTAGGGGTTGAAGGTTTTTTCTTTTTAAGGTTTTGGGGTTTTGGGTTGCTGTGACGGAAAGTGCCCTTTTTGCTTAAGGTTCCCAGAAGGGGGTTGAGGCTTTGGGGTTTGGGGTTTTTTCCTGTAAGGTTTAGGGGTTTAGGGTTGCTGTGAAGGAAAGCGCCTTTTATTTCAAGGTTCCCAGAAGGGGTTTAGGTGTTTTTTTTCCCTTTCAGGTTTTGGGGTTTTGAGGTTTAGGGTTTTGTTCCTTTAAAGTTCTGGAGTCTTGGGTTTAGGGTTTAGGGGTTTAGCGTGTTGGGGTTTGAGTTTTGGGGTTAGGGTTTGGGGTTTAGGGGTTTCGGGTTTAGGGGTTTAGGGGTTGTTATTCAGTTTTAACAGGGGAACCCTACACTAAAAAGGGCAAAAGGGTACTACCCAGGAACCAAGATTTCCCTAACCCCCAAGTACCTACTATATCGGGTAGTAGAGCCCCTAGGGCCCTATATAGTAGGTACCTGGGGGGGTTAAGATCCCTAAAACTAAACCCTATACTACTCAGGAACCAAGATTTTAAGTTCCTGAACTGCAACCCAGAAGCAGCGGCGAGGAGGCCACGGAGTTGCCACGGACAGTCCGTCAGCCTGGGTGGAGGGTGCAACTTTATGGCTTTAGGGTTCGTTCTGGGGTTTAGGTTTAGAGATGCTTTCCCCCCCCTACATGGGTTTTAGGGTTCTTGGGTTTAGGTCGTTTAGGTTTAGGGATTGTTCTAGGGTTTAGGTTGAGGGATGTTTCGTTTTCTACATGAAGCTTAGGGGTTAAGGGTCTTGGGGCGGACGAGGGTTCATCTTAGATGCATGCAGAGCTCATGGGTTCAGGGAATTTTCGGGGGGGGCTGAAGGGGTTTAGGAGGGCCTCGGAAGAGTGACTGAAAGAGTTGATCTCCTGCAGCCAGGAAGCAAGGGTCTCGGATCGTCTCCCTCAGCAAGGAGCCGAAGGCCCAAAGGAGGTTTGAGGGTTGGATGTACGGCCTAAGCCTTTGTGAAGAGTTTAGAAAGAAAGTCTTGCCGTCTGACTTCCTCTAATCGGGCGCCAGAGTCGGAGACTAGTTAGCCCAAGCTCAAGCTCTCGGCGCTCTCCACTGTTGGCGGAGTGGCGGTTTAGGTTTAGGTTTCGCTGAACCCAGGATTTTGGCCATAAGCCACAGGTGGACTGGGGTTCAGACATTAAGTAACGGAGGAAGCTGCACATGGCACGGAGTTGCTTAAGGTCCATGCCGAACGGAGCTTGCCCCGCTTCAACGTCCGCGGAGACCAAGTGTTCTGAAAGTCGAGCTACAAGGGTAGTTCTCCAAATTAGGGTCCCCGGTTTAGGTCCCCCAAAAGAGTACGAAGGACCCTAAAAAGGGACCCCCGAAGCAGATTTTACGGATCTGCCCCTGGGAGCCGCAGCTTCAAACGCTTCAATCGGGGTCCCTGGTCCCTTTACCCATCGGCTCCATACTGTTGATGATAGAAATCCTGCATTACCTTAAAGACCTTAAAACTATGGGAATTATGGTGTATTCCTTATCATGGGTAATGCAGGATTTATATCATCAACCGTAGTACAAGTAGTTCCTTTTTGTGGTTTATCTTTAGGATCCTGAAAGGCAAGCCCAAAAATGAACTACTATGGAGCCTCTGGGCAAGGGCATGAACTGTGGACTACTTTGTCACGGACATGGGAAACTCGTCGGCTTCGTCACAGACTACCTCTGAAACTTCGTCGGAAACGCTTTTGTGCACCAGCTTCTTGCAGTCACCAAACACCCATAACACAGAACAGTTCTGGTCCCTTGCGCCTTCGCCCTAAACCCCTACACCCTAAACCCCTTTCACGTTCCCATTGGGTCAGTTTCGCCAGGCCTGGGTGTAGAGCTGCAGGACATACTCCTGGTCGAAAGCCGCTTGGGTTCACCGGGTACTAGGGTTTATAAAGTTTATGGTAGTTCCCAATACGTTGCATCGCAAATCGACCTGCTTCCAGACCTATTTCGCCTGAGTTAGGAAGTTTCCTCAGGATCGAGCTGTGCAAATAAGATGTCACTAAGCAAAACCCCCGATACCCAGAGCTTCTTCCGACGCATCATAAGCTCTGGAAGTCTCCATAGCTCCCCTGAGAGCCGGCTTATTAGTACCTATGTAACACGCCCTAAACCCTAAACCCTAAACAGTGGAGATCTGAAGCTAAGTCGCCGGATCTTGGCCCAGGTGATGGAAGGGCTGTCGGCCGGAGCACATGAAGTAGAGGATTAGGGCAAAGGCATAGATGTCTACCTTCCTGGGAGCGGACGGAAGCTCGCCGGTAGAGCTTCCTTGAAGCTTTGCTTTTCTATGCTTCGGACTTAAGGCATAAAGCCCTAAACACTCTAAAACCCCTAAACCGCCTAAGTCACCCGTCTTCAGGCTTTTCGGACGCTACAGGCTTCAGCATTGCTGGGCGCTGTCCAGGGTTGAAGGATCTGTTGAGGCTAGAGCCTTGACGATTGGCAGCATTGTATAACATACTATATGCACGATCATATGCTATATGATACGATATTGTAATAGATTTTCGGATAGATATAAGAGCAGTTGCAATTTTCGATGCAGATGCCAGGTGGTCATGAGCTTGGAATTTTCGGCCACGGAAATACGCCTGGCCCTGGCAGTAGAACCCCCATGCCGGAAGGCTCTAAACACCCGAAAAAACTGTAGGCATCCTGTAAATTCTAAAGCCTCCCAGCCTCAAGAGGCTCCAAACGGCACGAAGCGCTAAATCCCTATGAGCTACGCCAAGCCGTCGTGTGACAGCGCACAGGTCACGTTAGAGCTATTTGAGGGCCCTAGCAGGGCTCCTCTAGGGACTATGGTGGGGCCATGTCAGGGCTTCACCAGAAAAGTTGAATAACAACACCGGTCAAAGAGTGTCTGTCGCGGGTTCCATAGAATCTTGGCAGGATCAGGAACTCATTGGGATCCCATTAGCAACTGTAAGGAAGGCACCTCTTGACAGTAAGACCTGCGAAGCTTAAGGCTGTTCCCCGTTCTGGAGCAGGCTTCTAAAATAGGGTCGACTCAAAAGGGTACTACAGGGTTCTATACTCGGGTCCCCAGTATAGGGTACTGGTCTCGGGCGGTTCTTTCTCACGGGATGCGGGCTCCGTGCACCCCCAACGGGCCCCAAAACACTGATGGTTTGGGAGTTGCTGCGCCTGTGCTTGTGCAAACTAGGCCCCCAAGCTCTTCGTGGGACGCAGACGACAAGTCCATGACCGCAAGAAAGCTCTCGTCATACACTCATGCGAATGCAACACGTGTTACTTGCTCTACAGGCCCAGGTGTTTGAAGATGCTTAACAAAGTCAAGCAAGGCTGCTCGTCGTAATAATGACCCCGAGCTACCTGCGCCAGGGGTGGGACAGGCGTCTAGCAACTAGTATCCACAGTGCCACATGTCTATCATCTTCTGTCTCCTACTTACTTCTCGCACGGTTTCTGCAACTACATGGTAGTCAGGAATACACTTATCTAGTCTAGCGGCTAGCGCTATCATGAAGAACATCTGGCGAGAAGAGGTTGTTGCGGTCACTAGGGACTCTTGATGCAGGCCGCATGTAGAGGAAAGGTGTGTCGAGTCTTATCGGGGCTACGCATTTCAAGGCTTCGGGATTTACGGCTTTGGGCCGTTCGCTGTTGAGGCAATTGCCTTGCACCAATTGGAGTTCTCGCTTGCCCCTGCTCTTTGAACCCTGATGCGCAGCCTCTCCGGACTTCTACGTAGGCCAAGAAAAAGAAAAAAGGTGTGTGTCTCGGTTCCTATAGACATCTCCACCAGTCTTTGCCGCAAGGCTTTCAGCGAATACAATCAGTGTCAAACATATTTCGAAGTACAACTATTATTTGTACAAGCACTCTAAATGAAACTGAAAGTAGCTGTTTAGGTTTATAGACCCTAAACCTTAAACCCTCAGAAACCCCTGAACCCCCAAACTCTAAACGCCCTAAACCCCTAAACCCTAAACCCCCAAACCCCCAAACGTCCGATGGAAGGCCTCTGGGGCCATGTACCGATAAGTGCCCACGCCACCGGTCATGGCGTATCTGCTGTGATCTCCTTTGGGACGGCTTTCAAACAACGCTTGGGGTACCGTTGATGATGCTAATCCTGCCTTACCTTAAGGGCCCTAAACCGTGGGAATTATGGTATGTTTCGTATTTTTGGGGTAATGCAGGATTTATATCAGCAAAGGTAATTTTGGAGCTTAGGGTCTCAGAAGATGAAGGAGTTTCCTTTGTGTGGTTTATATTTAGGATCCTATAAGGTACTCCCAAAAAGGAACTACTATGGAGCCTATGGGTCGGTTCTTGATTGCAGGGAACCCTTACTTGGTGTGTCGCTCTTTGACATCTTGTAGATACTGACATAGTTTCCTAAACTCTTAAACCCTAAACCAGAACCCTACAGCCATGAGGTGCTAAACCCCACGGCTGCTGCGCCACAAGAACGACCAGATAACGCAGAAGATGACGGGCCTCACCGAAGGTGCACAAGACAAAAACGTTGGAGCCCTCGCATATGCAAAATCAACGCCCAACGCCGATATACACTCTAGATCCTGAAGCCATGTGGCTTGTGCCCGCAGCAAGCACCCGGCTGATGCCAAGATCGGCGATCTGGTCGATTCAAGCTTCTAGTAGGATGTAAGGTCTCCGCATACATCCGATCACGGCAGTCAAGTGAAGTTCTTGAAGCAAGGGTTTTTACACACGCTTTGAGGGGACTCCGCCAGACGAGGTCTCTCGGTTCGTGACTTTTTGGTTTTAAGGGATCAGGGAGTCCCTTGAAATCCTGCTTCGCTTGATGCATCTGAAACTCTGCAATGAGAGCAGAGCGCTCAGCGCTCGAAGAAGCGCCGGTGACTTCCCCACCTAATTAACCAAAACCCCTTCTTCGACCAACACAGCCCTGAAACCCTACCTAAACCCTGAAACCCTGAAGCTCGAAGTAGGGGCAACTCCTGAAGCACCCTACCTACACCCTACCTAACCCCTGATTTGGGGGTTTCCGAAAATGGGGGACCCTCATATGGCACCCTAGTATAGTACCCTAAATAGTAGGATCCTTCCTATAAGGACCCCAAAATAAGGTACCCCCTTATTTTCGGAAACTCCCATTTCAACCTACACCCTAAACCCTAAACCCCAAACCCTAAACCCTAAACCCTAAGCCCTAAACCCTAAACCCCTAACCCCTAAACCCCAAACCCTAAATCCCACTACCTAACCCCGAACCGAAGCAAAAGAGGATCCCAGAGCGGCGCTGCGGGCGCTGCCTTCAGGTCTAAGTGCTTGGTCAAGAGAAGGTTCATGGGCTTCAGATCACCTCGGGTCTTTTGTAGGGTCTATAGGGGGTCTATATAGGGTAGGGTTTAGGGTTTAGGATCAAGAGAAGGTTCATGGGCTTGAGATCACCTCGGGTCTTTTGTAGGGTCTATATAGGGTATAGGGTCTAAGGTTCATGGGCTTGAGATCACCTTGGGTTTTTCTATAGGGTCTATAGGGGGTCTATAAAGGGTTTAGGGTTTAGGGTTCGGTTTAGGGTTTAGGGTTTATGGGGTCTTT